GGGGGCTTGTAATTCTTTTTTATAAGATTACTTCTCCCATTTATTAATTATGTAAGTCAATGGGAAATTGGATTCCAAACTTAAACTGTTTATTTACATGTAGTCTTTAAGAAAAATCAGTTTAGTTGATATAGGCATCCTTACTATTAGTTGAATTATTTGAGAATGTTGTATCCTTAGAGTAACATAATTATACTTACGAAAAACATGTTATGTTATAAATAATAATGGATGAATGAGCAATAATTTTATCACTTATTATGCTGAAATTTATAACTTGTAGTTAAAAGACTTTATTTGCTGTTAGACCATTGAGTATTTTTAAAGAGAAATTATATGTATTCCATAGCATATTAACTAGGCAAAATTAACTCATGTTATTAGGATAGAGGAAAAGCACATCTGATAGTAAAGGCTAATTAAAATAAGCTTTAAGTGATACATTGTCTTTGTAATTTAAGTTTCTAAAATAATTAATTCACATCTTGGATCTTCATTAGTGCGAGAGCCTCAGAAGTATAAATTTTTTGCCCTGGCCGGTGTGGCTCAGCAATTAGATCATCAGCTCCCACAGGGTTGCAGGTTTGATTCCTGACCAAGGGCAGTGCCTGGGTTGCAGGTATGATCCCCCGCCCCAGTCAGAGCTTGTGCAGGAGGCAACCAATAGATGTGTCTCACATCCATGTTTCTCTCTCTCCAACCTCCCTTCCACTCTCTCTAAAAAGCAGTGGAAAAAATACCCTTAGGTGAGGATTTTTTTTAAAAGTACAAATTTTTTGTATGTGTTCCTATCTTATTCTTTAGGCAGTCATACATACTAATATTCCTGATAATTAATTTTGAAGTTGTACATCCTATTTGAAAAGCAAAGTATGGAAATATATTGTGTGGAGAGCTAGAAAATCAAGACTGCCATGGAAAATGAATTATCTTAGAATAGCTAGCAAAACAGAGCACTCTGCCTTTCACGCTATTGCAGCATCCGAAAGAAAAAAGCCTGTTACCATTACCGTCTCTATTTGTACCTTATGCCATTAGTCTCAATGTGGCCTCTGAGTGTATACATCTGGTTTGCAACTTGAAATAGTTAGCTTTATAGTAATATTTTATTACTCCCCTAATTTAATTTTTTATTTAGAAATACTGTCATTTTCCCCCCAAACTCTGGCTGTATATCACATACTGAAGCAGATATTTGCAAGGACAGGTAATTTGTCTTGTATAACAGTCCAAATTGGAACATTTGAGCCAAAAATTATCCATATTTGGACATGAATTATGTGTACTGACTATTTATAGTGTTCTGCTAAGCTAGGGAGCTTTCAGATCTTCTCTCCCTCTGACTCCGTGGAAGCCTAAAGGACAAGATTGCAAACAACAGATTTAAAGGACCATTTTAGTCTTTCCTCTCAGTTTTACTGGGATTGTTGCTTTCAAGGTATTTTTTTAGCACTCGGTAGTTAAGCTATTTCATTTATTTTTATTTCTGCATGGCCTTTAAAAACTTTTAACTGTCAATTTATGTGTTGTAAAATATAGGGAAGGAGCCGTCCGGTGTTGCTCAGTGGTTGAGCGTCGACCCATGGACCAAGAGGTCCCAGGTTCAAGTCTCGTTCAGGGCACATTTAAGATACATTTGAATGGTTGATCTTGCTATCATCAAAGAAGATATTGTTTTTTCATTCTGTTATGACTAATATCTTCAGCTGTATTTATGCAAATAACTGTGCTCTTTGGTTGGCATTGGAAATATAAACCTATATCATCTCTATTGTCTGCCAGTCCAACTAAAAGGTGCTGTCAGTTCACACATTTAGTCATGAAAACAGTGGACGAAAGTGAAAACCCCTGCTGACTCGATCTCAATTACAAATTCAGAGTTGCCATCAAAATGTGTTTGGAATATAGCAGGTGTGTCTTATTACTGAACTTTTAAGAATATTATATAAAACATTATTTACAGTAGACTGAATTAAAACATCAATTGAAATGTAAATAAATACAATCATTCACTTTTACAAAGGCTGAAAACAGGGTTCGATCCTGACTCACTCAACATTAAAGTTGTGATACAAAGAGCCTGGGTCCCATCTGCTCCAAGTCGATGGCCCTCAAGAGTCATTAAAATTATCCTTTTAAAATTGCAGCTCAGCAAGAACAATCTGTTTTGTGCATCCAGAACTCGTCCAAATGCCCATCTGCATGTCCTTGTAAGAAAGTAGTTCCACAGAGGAGGTGCTGGCTCCTTGGGGAAATCATTCCCATCCTCAGCCTGCATATGCTGTGCTGCAGTTAATCAGGCGAACTCTATTGATGTTCCTGGCACTGGGGCGTGATTGAATATTTAACAAACAAATGCTTCTAAGCCCAGAAGACAAACAGTTCAAGAGATTTGGGACTT